TATTCATTATTTTTTATGATGCAGCCTCTTTATAGCCACTAGCAGCCCACTGGCCTCATGTGCTGCTGCTCAATTTACTAACCAGGGCAACTTGCCAAACCAGCTGCTGTTCTATAGGCCTGGATCCGCCCCTGTTGTTTGAGCCAAAAAGAACAGTCATGCAAGAAGAGGCTGTGAATTTCTCCTGCTTTCTCAAATAATCACCTTAAAACCAGGACAAAATAGTCTGTTTTGGAGAATCTGTAAAATGACTGCTCTAATGACTTGTGGTTTTTTTGCTTGTTTCTCTACAGAACAACAAACTGCTCAACTATAATAACAACCTGAATGCACCCCATCCCATGTCTGTCCCTTGCACTGGCACCAATGTGCCTATCTCCAGCCCCACCGGAGCCCTGCTGGACAGGAAGGCGGTGGGATCTCCCTCAGTGGGAGGCATGTACCAGCGGCGGCACTCGGTCAGCAGCACAAAGTTCAGCCAGAACCAGTTCCTGAACAGCCTAAAGGCAGCGGACCACTGCTCACTCATCTCAGGGGTTGGTAATGCCAGCAACAACAAGGAGAACCGCCTGCGAGACCGCTCCTTCTCTGAGACGGGTGAGAGGCTCATAAATAAGTGCCTGGGCCCTGCCAGTCCCACCAGTGGCAGCAGCCAAGTGAACTCCAGCCGTTACAAGACGGAGCTTTGCAGGCCCTTTGAGGAGAATGGTTCCTGCAAGTATGGTGATAAATGCCAGTTTGCTCATGGAATCCATGAACTGCGCAGCCTGAGCCGCCATCCCAAATACAAAACTGAGCTGTGCCGCACCTTCCACACCATCGGTTTCTGTCCGTACGGGCCTCGCTGCCATTTCATCCACAATGCAGAGGAGCGGCGTGGACCCCCCCTCTAAACCCTTCCAACAAGATGGAGAGGCCTCGACTGCAGCACAGCTACAGCTTTGCAGGCTTCTCCAGCTCAGCTGGGTTGAGAGACAGCCCCACCTCAGTCACCCCTCCACCTATGTTCTTCCCTGATGAGGTTCCCAGCTGGCCCAGCAGTAACCCCTTCACCTACTCCAGCCAGGAGCTGGCCAACCTGTTTGGGCCCAGCCTCAGTTCTGGTCCTGCAGGCACAGATCCCAACACCCCTGCACCCCCCTCTCCAACAAGCACACCTTACTATTTCAGACCCATGTTGGAGTCGCCTCAGATGTTCGAGTCTCCATCCAGCCCACCTGACTCTCTGTCAGACCAAGAGGGGTACCAGAGCAGCTCTGGGGGCAGCCTGAGTGGCTCAGAGTCCCCCACGCTTGATACCACCCGCCGCCTTCCCATCTTCAGCCGCCTCTCCATCTCTGATGACTAGACTGCACCATCCACCAGTGACTTTAAGTTCAATGATGCAAAGAGAGCACGGCACTCCCCTCTACCTCTGCCTCTTCCCTTACACAAGACACCATGTTAGTTTCTTGTTAGCATTGTAAGGATATAGTGATTTAAGGGAATACAAATGATCATTTCATCCCAGTTAATCTGCACAGCAGGTTTTAAAAAGTACCCTGCCATGTGTCATAGTGCCAAAAAAGGAGAGGAAATTGAACAATGAAAATTGTGAGAACAAGAATTGACTGTTTTGCCAGGTGCCACTTGTTTTGTTTTTTTCCTTTCTCCTTTTTTTGTTTCTTGAATGTGTAGCAGCACAAGTGGCCTTGGAAAGGGAAATGCAATGCATTATCCCTTAACCCACCCCCGCCCCCTTCTGCCTCGGTCTCTCTCCCCTCCCTCACAATACCACTTCCCCTGAGCTAGTTAGAGGGTGCTCACTAATGTAACTAGATTTGCCACAACCATTTTTACAGACTGAGTTAAAAAATATATATCTAACAGACCCTGAAATGATATGAATAGTTTTAAAAAAAAAAAAGTGCCTGGGGCGGCTTCTGCATGTGCTTAAGGTGAATGGACTACTGTTTGTTTTTGGTTCCTATTTGCCCCCCCTCCACCCCCGTCACGGTTCTTCTCGAGTCTTGTCTCTATGTAACTGTGGACCGGGTGAGTCTGCAAGAAGGACTTTGAACTGGAAGTTGGTTATGTTCCCTCTC